AGTCATAAGAGAAATACTGGCAGTCACTTTTTAGCAAAACACGAGCAACTCTACACCTCTGGTCCCATCCGTGGTCTCCTCAAAGCTCAACAGATCACACCATTTGATGTTTTTCTGGTCCAACTTTTTCAGAACTTCAGAGCTTTCATTGGTTGATTTGCTTGAAAAAGTAGACAATAAATTAGATGTAATATCAATAACAGCATGTGGATACATTTCCAGGATCATCCCACTATATATGATCCAAATTATGGAATGAAAATACTCCTCCTTCAATATTGGGCCAAATTATTTAGGTGTAATCCTCCAACTCCACCAGTAGAGGGCGCTCTACACCACCGTATCAGCTCTTCGCTCAGCTGGGAAATAATCGCCACTTGCTTCTGCATTAGACTTCAAATGCATTTGCCAGAGTTATCATATTTTAAAGATCTGAATGTATTATCATCCTCTCTACTTTTAAGATCAGGCTTCAGTCGTTTCTTTTTAATAAGCGTAAAGTAAAAGTTTGACTTATAGGTTTAAATTCAATCCCTAAATTTGACCCTTACATGCTCTTTTGGTCAAATTTGACAGCAGCAAAAATAATTTAAATATCATTTTTTTCAGCCCGAAATTTAATTAATTTTTATAAAGTGGCCCAAAATGCACAATTAACAAAAGCAAACAAAAAAGTTTCATACTGTTATATAGCTGGGACAATTTTCTGTAAATTGAGGCATGATGGTGGTTTTAGAGAATTTTCGGGAATGATGACACGTGGACACGAGCACATAAGGAACAGAACATACAGGGGTCAAAGGGCACCTTGAGAGATGGTTGCTGAGTTAGACAGAAACAGGGCAGCAGAGTGCTACAGTGGTTCATACGATCAGCTCAAGGATTCTGGTTCCAATCCTGGCAGGAGAGTTTCTGTGTGGATGTTTGAACCACTTCAGAGTACCTGAAGTGGGTTTCCTCCAGTTTCCTCCCACAACCCAGAAACAAGCATGTTAAGTTAACAGGTAACTCGAAACTGGGAGGGAGTCTAAGTGGGCAGTAAAACTAGGAAAGTGCAATATAAAAGCAAATACATTACATTTACAACTGCAAGCTTAAGTCCCCATATTAAAAAAAATTGAACCTTTGACAAATTAAAATCACTTTAATCTGAGTTAATAGATAACAAAAGGGAGTTGGGGGAAGTCATACGATCATAAATGTGCTTGATCTGCCATTTCAGTGAGAGTGGGAACCCACACATAAACCCACATAAAGTTTCCTGTCACAGACAATAAGCATGTTTTGTGCTCCAAGTGTGAATTAATATTCATATTTATGATGACAAACAGGACATGCTCTCATGTGATAGTAGATACTTTCCTCCTGTAAAACCCAAAACATGAACTGTTCCTGCGCTCTGAAACATTAATCAGGATTAATTGTTCATTTATAATTTTAAGGCTATGTATGCACTATAAATGATTCTCTAGACACTCGCAGTCTAGAAAGTTGACCCAAACCATAAACTTTGAGCAGTATGTAAGCGTTATTTTACCCTAATTTTTTGGGTTATTCTTCAGTTTTGTTTCTGTTAGTTTCCACGGGGGGTTTGCTCATTTTGGGAAAGTTTTTTTTTAAATTGTTGTTCAGTTTCAGTTTAGCTGATTAGTTTCAGCGCTAGTTTAGTCTTTAACTCAGGGGCGGTGTGTCCGTGTGAGATTTATAGTTGTTAGATTTGGTATTACTACACAAACACAACAGTTCGTGACACGTAGACATCACGGTCTTATTAAACACGTGCCTCCTGATACATGTAAGGTCAACAAATTCCCTTATCATCCCACGGTGGTGGGGATATGGAAAATATTATTATGTGGAAGGGGAGTTACTTCATAATATCTCCCCAGCATCACAGAGCACTCGTGTATGCAGCAGAGGAAGGGCTCAACTGATTGGTGTGTTTCTGTTTTTAATCTCATGATGTCTTTACACAATAAATCACCATTAATGAAGACCAACAAATAGAGTTGTGGTACACATCATTAATGTTTCTGGAGGAATCAACAAGATAAGAATCAGCCTGGTGCTGCTAATCAAATTAACTTGATTAATTGATCATA